GAGGCCATGGCACTGCACTTACTGTTAGGCAGTTTTGTCATTTCCTGTTACTGAGTCGTTAGCGCATATTCTGCAGAACTGGGAGCAGTCTGTATACGTAATTACAGTGCTACCAGGGTAACATCGAGGCATGGTAAGATCTAGAATTTCCTTCCTGGATAAGCACTAAAGTGACATCTACTTTGCAAGCCAAGAATATGGCTGAAACCTGTAGTGAACTTGCCAGAAGATACTGCAAAGGGAGGTCAAGAGCTTTGAGTCATCTGTTGCAAAGCATGTTTGATTCTTCCTGCAGTTCCTCTAATTATAGGCTTGCTATTTATTCCTTGAGAGTTCTTCCTGCCTGCTTAAAATTTGGACAGGAAGATGTAGTTTATTATTGTGGAAAACACAGTCAAACAGAATCATTTACCTTAGGTATTGTTAGCTTCTAAATCAGCAAGGCTTTCCTTTTTATTTTTATTTACTTATTTTTTGTAGTACTGGTGTTTGAACCTCTAGGCAAGTGCTAAGTCTTTTCTGTAATTTTTGTAAGAACAGTTGTGTAACATACGTCCATTCATGTAGTCTTAGCAGTTTGTTAAACTGAAGTGTTTTAAATTTAAGTGGGATAGGGAAAGACTTGGGAATCTTCTGGGGAGCAAGATGAAGTGTTAGGTAAATTGGCCGGTGAAAGAAAAACCTGAGCATTCGGGAGAAAAACCTAGAATGCCTAGCTTCTAGCATTATATTACTTGTAGAATATTGTCTGAATATTAAGAAGATAGATACCATTTCTGTCAGTCTTTGTGTTTGTAGCACAGTGAATAAAATAGTTTTACATATCTTAGGTGTAGGTTAACATTAATGCAGAGATATTTCAAGTGCCATTGAGTAAAAACTCACCACGGTAAACTATTCTCCTTGGCCATTAGAGGGTATGGGCACCACCTGCTGAAATTTATACTACCAATGGCGCCCAGTCCCACAAGAAATATTTATGTTAAAGAGGATTTGCCTGCCTCCTATAAATAGCTGCTTTCAACCTCCTTATAATAGGTATAAATATATTAAATATAAAAGAGTGGAATTAAAAACAGACTAGTTATTATCTGGCCTTCATTGTGTCTTGTTTTTTGCTAAATTGTGAATTTGGTGAAAGAGCTTTGTCCCATGTATTTATCTTCTTGTCCTCATGCAATTTTTTTTTTGTTTGTTTTCTTCTTCATCATCATCATCATAGTCATTTATATATTTTGGCTTTTTGAAACAGGATCTCACTATGTAGTTCGGGCTGGCCTTGAACTCACTATGTAGTACGGGCTGGCCTCAAACTGGTGGCAATCTTCCTGTCTCAGCCTCCTGAGTGCTGGGATTAAGATGTGCACCACCACACCCAGCTGTAATGATTTCTTAAATAATGATACAGATTCTGTTGGGGAGACATTGAAATCTTGGAGGGAAAGTTGCAAAATGTTCTACCTACAAAGTAACTGAGCTGGTTTGGCAACTTCAATAATTTGCAGTAGAAATAACAGATAACTTATTTCACCTGATTTCCTCTTTTTATTATTTTAAAGCATTAATTTTAGGTTATCTGCTCAGGCATGTTTTCAAAATTCAGTGCAGACCATCAACAGTATTATGCCTATCAACTGTCACTTAAAATATACTTTGCCTGCTTCTCACATTTTAAATAGCTAGTATTTTATAATTTATAAACTTTTAGTCATCTTATATAGTTACTGAGTCTTACATTCTTCATTTCTCTGGCATTGAAAGTGAAAATGTTTGCTTATGGGGCTGTTTTACACTGTACTGTTCGATGAATTTCTGTAGTCAAACTTAGATCCTCTGAAGAAGGGAGCCATCAATGAAAACAAACTTTTGTACTATAGAAATGTCCACAAATCACACTTGCAAGCGGTCTGGCCTTTACTTTTCTTTAAAGGTTCAGTTGAGATTTCTCTTTGAGACTCACTTCATATTTGTTTCACATTCTTTAATTTGTGCACGTGTGTGTGTGTATGTCCACTAATGTGTATGTAGTTGCACACTCACACATACGTGCTTATGGGCCATATCCACTTCCATGAAGCTACCTCAGATAATGATACAGTGTTATTTTTTCCAGCTAGGGAAGATTTATTAATATTTAGAGTGAATTTAGGTTTGGTTTGAGAAATTGGTCAGATTTTAAAGAAAGCTAAATTAGTCTGTTTACTTTGAATTAGTTTCCAGTTTTATTTCCGGTATTAACTGGGTGGCTAGAATTTCTGAAGATTTTGTTTTCCTTTGTTCTTGGTAGGAAAGCTTATTATACCATCATAGAATGGTATGAAATCTTAAGATCCAAAATAGTGTAAGTTTCCTTCAGGTCAGGTGAAGGTTGTTTGTTAAAAATGTTTTTGAAAGATTAGGCCAAAGAAAATTTTGTTTTCAGTAAATATTTTGAGGCTGGAACTGTAGCTCAGTGGCAGAGGGCACACATGCTTAGCATGCAAGGCCCTGTGTTCAAATCCCAGTATGCAAGGGCTGGGGATTTAGCTCAGCTGCTTCATGCCTGCCTGGATCCCTGGTACAAAAAAAAAAAACCAAAAAAACAGAAAACCAAAACAAATCCTAGTACGCAAAATGTACGAACAGAACTTTGCTTTATTTTCTTAGTTTGAGAAATTGGTTATTTTTTAGATTTTTCTCAATGTTAGGATTAAACATTCCATCCCATGATTTAAAGTTGAGGCTTATGAGCTTTAAGCAAGTGTTTTAAATTGGAAAGATAATATGTTCCACTACAGATCAAATTTTCCTTCATATACGATGTACTGATTTTAAATTTTACCAAGAAATTTAATTTCCACCTTAACGTTTGGGTGTGATTTTGTCCCAGTGATCATAGCAGCATCAACAGTTGCTCTTTAAGAACATTGGCTTTAGTGCTGGGAAGAATTCTGCACATTTGCCTCTTGGTTTACATTTTATTAGGCTTACTCTTTTAAGAACCAGTCTCGGGCTGGGAATTTAGCTCAGTGGTTCCGCCACCTGCCTTGCAAGTGCATAGGACCTGAGTTGGATCCCTGGTTTAAAAAAAAAAAAAGAAGAAGAAGAAGAAGAAGAAGAACCAGTGTCATTGGCCAGCTAGGAAACCAGTGCTCCAGCCAAGGCTCGCCGATGTTACGCATTAGTGTCTAGAACTTGGAAGTGAGCGTGGGTCTTCTGAGTCTAGCCCTCTTTGTTTCCTCAGGGATTTCTTTTAAGACAGATCCAGTTATTACAGGACAAAACTGGACAGGGTGCTGTAGGACCGTCAGAGAGGGAAGGATATACCTTGAGCAGGAAGATAGAACGTGTCTGGTACGGGCAGTGATTGGTTTGGCAGACTGAAGGGCCTTTTGATGCTAAGCTTAGAGATGTGAGTGAGCAGGGGAAATGAGTTTTTGAGAGTGGAGCAGCCAGAGAGTAGTCACATCTAACCTGATTTCCAGCAAAATGGGAAGGTCATTTTGGAACGATTGAGAGGAAGCAGTTGAAAAAATCATAGAGGGATTACAAGATTCTTCTGCCAAGCTTGCAGTTGTTAAATCAGAGTGAGTGAATGCTTGAACTCTGTGGTGAAGTTTTGAGCCAGGGGCTTGGAGAGCTGAGCTGTCTAAAGAGAGAAGTTCAACCCAGCTTTCAACTTTGCTTAGGTGGTTAGGCTTTTTAAAAACTGAATTGCAGAATGAGGGTGTGAACCTGGTGCACAGGTGTGGGGAAACTAGGAGGATGTGCGAGGGAGGGATGGAGGCAGGGGAGGAATTTCACTTCCATGGCACAGGATGAAGCTGAATCGGCTCGGGAAATTCTTGGGCACTACCGATGTAATTTTTGAGATTCTTCAGTAATTTTCTTTAAACTCATTGTTGTTTTGTTCGTTTTCATATCCCTGGAACAAATCCCTGACTCCCACGATTTAAAGGGGCGGGGTTACTTCCTCTCATGGTTTCAGAAACAGAAACAGCATGGTGGGATGGTCTGGTGGAGGACAGCTGCTCACTGCTTGGTGACCAGGAAACAGGGAGGAGCCGGGGAAGGAGCCTTTAGGCAAAGCCCCTTCAGGCAGTGCCCCCAGTGATGCCTCTCACCAGCCCCCCCCGCGGCAGCACAGTTAGCCATGAACTCCCCATTTGCGAATCCACTGTGATACACGCACAGCGGATGCCACGATGCGCAGAGCGGACTCGACCCCGGCAGTGGCGCTGTCTCCTGGCGATGTGTGAGCGCCTCTAGTTCTAGGGCCCGCTGCTGGGGCTGCTTCCCATCTCGGTAGTGCTCAGGTGAAGCGCGCGCACAAGAGTAAGCACGCTCACAGGCAAGTAACTTAAACATTATATTTACCCGGAGGAGGGAAGAGAAGGAAGGGAAAAGGAAAATGAAAAGAAGGAAAAGAATGAAAAAGATTTTGTAAATAAGGACGGGAAGAATTGAAGGGAGGGGAGGGAAACAGGAAAAAAAAATTAAGATATGTGATGTACTGGTACAAGTTCCCATGGAGAATGTGCTCATTATTTATCAGTAATATTAAATTTAAAAAGAGAAAAACCAAAAAATTATATTTGTATACATTCATTTAGATATATAGTTTACAAATTGTACCCATATAAAAATTTGTTTTTATTACATTTTATCAGAAGAAAATACAGTAAAATATGAAATAGAATTATGGATAAATCTCCATTTTCCCTCCTCCTTCCCTTTCTTATTCTGTATCCCTCAGCCTGGCACAGTGGTACACACCTGCCGTCCTAGCTACTCAGAAGGCCGAGGCAGGAGGATTGCATGTTCAAGGCCACCCTAGGCAACTTGACAAGTTCAAGGCATAGACTACATAGTGAGACCAAGTCTTAAAAAATAAAAATTAATGTACACATTTAAAAAAATAAAAACTGAAAGGCAACAAGATGCAGTAATTGTCAAATTACAATACCATGTCACAATGCCAAGAGTGCCTCAGTCACCTAATTGTGCGCTTGCTCCTGCAGCCTGGAGTACTCGGATACTTTGAATTCAGCGGCTCACCCCAGCCTCCTGGCTATTTGACCTTCTTCACCTCAGCGTTATATTCATTAAAGAAAGGTAAAACTGATTTATATTAAGATAGTACTTTAATAGAGATGTAGTTAATAACCTTGTATATATTATCATTATTATATTTTCTAATTGATAGATTCCTTTTTCATTGTGTTTAGTAATTACAGTTTGATGCTGTTGTTAATAGTATACTATTTCAAATACTTTCTCTTAAGTGTTTGTCTTTTTGAAAACATAACAGTCATGGTGTATGCAAATATGTATTTTGTACTTTAAAATTTATTATATTGTAGTCATTTAAATTATGTAGTTAAAAGTTTTTCTCAGGATTTTTAGTGGTTATCTATCTAATCCTGTCAGTTGGATATTCCATAACTTGCCAATATACTTCCTTCAAGGAATATTTTTATAAGTATAAAAGTCATATCACATTCCGCATGAGCCTGGTGCCAGTTTCATTCTTCTCAAATCCACATTTCATTTACTTAGTTGAATCATATATCATTTGGAGTCCTGTTTTTTTCATTAAATGTCATATCCTACTTATTTTCCAAGTTGCTCTATGTTCTCCTTTGGTCATGACTGTAAGGCCTGTTGTTTCTCTATTGGATACTTTTGTCTGCTCATTGAGTCTGTCCTTTGATGTCACTCTGGTCACACACCCTGACTTGGCCAGCAGGCTGTGCCTCTGCATGTCCTAGTCCTGCCTGGAAGGCTTATGCTGGTTACCTGGAAAACTGAAGAGCCTGCAGCCCTCAGGCCCAGCTCTCCTCCCCTCAAGCTCCAAACTCATCTTTCAGGTTCTAGCTCAAATACCACTGCTACAGTTCAATACTCTCCCCTCCCTTCCCCCCCTCCCCCCATCTGAGTTGGGTACTCCATTGTTTCTTTCATGGTACATAACAGAGTTTCCTTTATTTTTTGGTACCAGGGATCAAACTCGGGACCTTGCGCTTGTGAGGCAAGCGGCGGTACCACTGAGCTAAATACCTGGTCCACAGTTTCCTTTATATACATAGCTGTAGGATGATTTGTTTAATGTCTGTCTTCCCCAGACTCTGAAATTCCTAAGGGTAAGAGCTATGCATCGTAAATTTAGTGTTTTTCTTCCATGTCTGGCACATAGCAAGGGCTCATGTAGTATTTGTCACATGATCGGTCAGAATAATAGCCCAGCATCTTACCTCAGTGACTCAACCAAAAATATGTAACCCCTGAGAGTGATGGATGTTACAAGCCTGTAATCCCAGCTACCCAGGAGACAGGAGGATGACAAGTTCAACCCTGGCCTGGTCATTGTAGCAAGACTATGTCAAAATAAAAAGTGTTGGGGGGCTCAGCAGTAGGGCACCCCTAAGTTTAATCTCCAGCCCCCCCACTTGCACCCACAATGCAAATACAAAGTAACCAAGCACATCTGCTTATTACTGGTTATTGGATGACTTCAGTGGTTTTTTCTTTTAAATTAAAACAGTATATTATGAATACATCAAACAGTGATATGACTGGTCATTTTAATATATACATTGTCTAAAGATTTCATGCACAGAGAATTTACTGTGTTTACATTTTTGTCTGGGAGACATTTGGGAGGAAAGTAAGCTGTTATGAAAGTATCTTCTGTCCACTTGAAAGTCTGAGCTGCACATTTTCAAGTGACTAAAAAGACTTAGTGAATCAAAGTTTGAACTTTCAAAACAAAATATTGGGAACTTTAGTAAGTTTAAGAAACAGGCATCCAAAGCTCTTCATGGAAAATTAAATAAAGCCCTTCAAAAAAGAAGACTTTTTGTGTGTGTGTGTGGTACTGGGACATGAACTCAGGCCCTTGTGCTTGCGAGGCAGGCAGCAGAACCACTGAGCGAAATCCCTGGCAAGAAAACTTTAATACTATATGCAAACGGGTAACTTAAGAGTAGTCCACTAAAATGATGGTAGCATTCAGTCTTGGTATTTCAAGATTTTCGAAGGGTGTTTTATTTGGTTAACTTACATTGTGTGTGCTATACCATGTTAGTGAGAAATTACTCACCTTAAACTATGTTTTCTCTCAAGAGGTTTCTGAGAAACCTTTCCAAATATAATACAGTAGTGCCTCCCTCTCTTTCTGTAAGCAGAGGTAGTAAAGAGGAACAGATGAAATAGAGGTAATGTAGGGCCAAGAAGGACAAATAGCTATTAAGTTCTCACTCCAGGCAGAGTGGTTGTGTGCCTCTAGTCCCAGCCATTCAGGAAGCTGAGGCAGGAGTGAAGCTAGCCTGGGCAGCATCCCATGACCCTGTCTCCAAAAAACTAGGGAAAGGGCTAAGGGAATTAGCTCAATGGTAGTGTTTGCCTAGCACCATCCGCAGCACCACAAACTACAACAAAAAACTCAAAAGAACAGAATGAACCTTGGTCAAATCATTAGTCTTGACAAATGATTATATGAAACTTGTCATTATAAATTAGATGTGGTCTGATTTATCTTGTTCTATATTTCTTCTCAGCTGTGTGATTCTAGTCGGATTTTGTAATATGCTGTTGCATGTATAAAGTTCATAGGAGCCAAGATTCCATTTAGCGAATCCCCCACCCGTGGTTAAGTTCTCACTTAAGCTTATGAACCATTTTGAGAAGAAAAAGACAAATTTCAAATGATGATTTTCCCATATATGTCCACCAGGAAGGATTACCTAAAATAAATCTGCTTGAGCATCTGGGTTTCCCTGTTTTTCTTTCTCTTACTCTGGAGTCAAACAGTGTTTTCCTTATCATTAATAGCAGGTGTGTGGTAAGAGAAACACATGTATACTTTTTTTAATGGGACAGTTAAAATGTAAATTCTAGGTGGATGTCCTGTTTAAATTGTGTGCACAATTTGAGGCCTGACAAACATTTAACACACTTAACAGTTGCTTATAGAGTGCTAATCTGAAGAAGTGTTTAGATTTGGTAGTAGAAAGCAGATACCCAGGTTCAGACGTACTTGTCTTCTCATTGCCTTAATGATTTGTTTTTTCTTGTGCTGGGGATAAAACCCAGGGCCTTGTGCTTGCTGCAAGCACTTTGCCACTCAGCTCTGTATCCAACCTGCCTTAATGATTATTTTATTTTACTTTTTATTTATTTATTTATTTTTTGGTACCAGGGATTGAACTCGGGTCCTTGCGCTTGCAAGGCAGGCCACCGAACCACTGAGCTAAATCCCCGGCCCAATGATTATTTTAAAATGCCATAGAAATAGCCAGGACACTGTCTAAGTTCTATGTTTGTTTCTTGAAAATAGTTGTTCAGCAGTTCACAAATAATGGAGAGTATGCCATGTATGAAACATCATAACAGGGTGCTGTGGGGTGAGCTAAGAGTTTATTCCTGCCCATCAAGATGTGAGGGTTGAGGTTTTTTTGTTTGTTTTTCATTCTTTGAGATAGGGTCTCTTTGTATAGTCCAAGCTGGTTTTGAACACTTAGATAAAGGAAATCAAGGAAAACTTGTTTACCATCTCAACACCATAACATGAATTGCTTTCCTTCTTTATTGTTTTAACTATTTCCTTTTGTCACAGTTACTGTGGATCCCTTGGACTTTGTGCTGGTCTGTCAGTGGATATAGACCCCCCTGCTTGTGGTATGAGCAGGAAGCTGTTGTTATATTTCTACCTGTTATTTTCCTGACCTTTTTATTTTTATCATTTTTATAATGAAGTTTTATATTTTCATGTGCTTCTCTGGTTCATTTATTCTTTTCCTGAAAATCTGATGACTAGTTACTTTTCTTTAAGCACTTTGTGCTACTTGGCTTTCGTTTTGCTTAAAATGATAGAGAATATAATTGCTTTTACCTCCTTCTCATTGTCTAATCATTTGCAAAATGATGCTTTCTCCCTCATCTTGACCTCTTCTTTTCCACAGAACACATTATTCTGTGTAGTTGGGTCTGTTCCTATGTTTTCACTTGGCCTGGGTAATCATTTTATATGAATTATGTTCTTGCTTTGTAAGTTGTTATTACCTGGTAAAGTGTGGGCTCCACTTCCTTTAGTTTTATATTTTGTGGAATATTCTCTTATAGACATTCATGCTTTTGGCTGCGTTTTGGTTACAGTTACAAATGAATAAATGCTTAAAGATAATTGACATGATCATAACATTTACCTTCCCTTTCTAGGATCACAGCATGATTATTCCTTTATTTAAGCCTTTTAATTTTTCATAGTAGGTCATACAAGTCTCTCGTTAATGTTTAATCATTTCGAAGTGCTCAGTGATTAACTGTGGGCTGGCATTCTTTGTGTATATTTCAAGAGCCTGAAGAAGACCAGCTCTTATATGTTGTACTCTTCCCAGACTGCAAAGCCTATTCCTCTGAGGACTGTGTGATGTTGGCGGGCAGCCTTTATTATTCTTTTGCCTTAAGAAAATTTGATAGAGGGCTTGTCCTTCTAACTTGTGGAATTTTGTTTTTTAATCTTCTGATTATTTCATCATTCTATAAAGCTGTGTTCTGGTAAAATGTGACCATTCCTCTATGATTTGGCAGCTTTCTGAAACAAATTGTATAGCAGAAGTTGATCCTGCTTTCTTCCATCCACCCTGCAAAAGAAATGCAGGGGGGTAGCAGTGGCCTGGAGGCTGGCAGTGTCTGCCTGATGGTGCCTATAAATTTGGAACAAAATATTTAACTTTTCTGCTTTTGAATTTTTCTGTCTGAAAATTGGGGGAGGATGGTGGTTAGGATAAATTCTTCTTTTATAATGTCGAGTCATGTGAAATGTGTGAATAGAACAATAGTCAAAGTCTGTAGTATCTTAGAAACTAAGCCCCTTGGGTCTTATCTCAAATAAGTTTCACCTCTACTTTAGAAAAAGCATCTACACAAGAAAATATACCCCTTGACTGGCCTGCAGGCCTGTCTTCCCCATCCCTTTCTCTGTGACACCCGTTCGTGCCTCTTCTGTATGCCCTAAGTCCTGAGTATCACGTTGTCTAAATCTCTTCCACCAGAGCAGGAGTGCATGTGTTCAGACAGTGTGTGCTCCAGGTGCTTTGTTGTCCTGTTCCTAC